GTGGCATCTCAGCTCACAGCAACCTCCAACTCCTGGGCTCAAGCGAGTCTCCTGCCTCCGCCTCCCAAGTAGCTGGGACCACAGGCGCCAGCCACTACGCCCGGCTATTTTTTGGTTGCAGCCGACATTGTTGTTTGGTGGGCCTGGGCTGGGGATTCGAACCCCCCACCTTGGATGTACATGGCTGGCACCTTAGCCACTTGAGCCACAGGCGCCGAGCCCAAACTTTTTTTTTGAGACAAAGTTTCACTTTGTTCCTCTGGATAGAGTGCAGTGGTGTCATAGCTCATAGCAACCTCAAATTTCTGGGCTAAAGTGATTCACTTGCCTTGGCCTCCAGAGTAGCTTGGACTACAGGCCTCCACCACAATGCCCAGCTATTTTTTAGAGATGGGGTCTCAATCTTGCTCAGGCTGGTCTTGAACTCCTGAGCTCAAGCAATCCACCTGCCTTGGCCTCCCCGAGTGCTAGGATTACAGGCGTGAGTCACTGTGCTAAACTTCAATGAAAAAAGGCGCCTGTAGTTTCACCTATTTGGGAGGTTGAGGCCAAGAGGATTACTTGAGCCCAAGAATTTGAGGTTGCTGTGAGCTATGATGACACCATGGTATTCTACCCAGGGCAACAGAGTAAGACTCTGTCTCAAAAAAAAAAAAAAAAGGAAGGTAGGGAATTATTTTATATTATTAAGGTATTTGGCTTGATTTAGAATAGGTTACAAAAAGATTTAATTAAATTAAAGGGGAAAAAGATGGCAATGTAGGAAGCCAAGTTGCACAATAATTCCTATTAATGAAGGAATAATAGGTCACATATATAAATCTTAAAAATGGAAACTGTCACTTGGTTAATGAAGAAAATACATAGCTCCTAAAACTTGTGGACCAATATTAGGTTAACTCAACATATTGACATCAGTATTTGGTGACAAATCTCTCCCTCTCTTTTTTTGTTTTGATCACTGGATGCTGAGGTAACAAATTTCTTTTAGAACACTAAGAGATTTCAAACAAATAGCCTGGGAAACTGACAAAACCATTTAAAGGAGGAAAAGGAAAACAAAAGATATTAAATTTGTAACTCATTTCCTCATACTTGGTTTAATATGTGATAGTTACTAAAGGTTTAATGATAAAGATACAAAAATATTCTACTAAAAAATAGCTCAGGATCTTCAGGGACAAGATTACATATAAAAAGAAAACAAGAGGACTGGTTGGAAATAAAGGAAGAAATAAGAACATTTCAAAAATACAGTATTTTTATCAGTCAAGTTTGAACATCCAATAAGACTTAAATTATTTATAATATTGAACTATGACATACCAAAAGGAACTTAATTGTGATCCTATGATCCTGCTTAATTAAAGGTATATACATAAATAACTACAATGCTTTATACTATCATAATCAAGAACAACCAATCAACTTATAATTATTTAGGTGGGGTAGAAGGGAGGAAGAAAGAAAATACAGTACACTTTAAAAAATAATTTATACTCGGAACGATATTATTTTTTATATAAGAAAGATTTTATTTCTATCTTTATTTTATTTAGAATATTATTTAATGTATATTGGAGTCATTAAATATCATCCACAACAGAAATATAAACAGGAAGAAAATGAGTTAATAAATCCAGGTGAAGTAAAAATAATGGTCTTGGATATTCTGTTAGATGAAACACAAGATAACAATTAAATGCTAAATATTACCGCTTGGTAAAAAGTAAAAGTTTACTAAAATAAACAGGCTAAGAATACCTACCACTCCATCAGCAATTTTCTGATCTCCATGAATTTCATATAGTTGTAGCTGTTTTTCAAATAGTTGAGCAATAGCTCTATGAACAAGCTCATATTGCTCCTATTGGGGAGATGAATGATAAACAAGAGAAAAGATAATTTATTTATTAATATATGTTTATAATTTCATTTTTTGCTTTTATTTATTTTTAATTTGAGACAGAGTCTTACTCCGTCCCCCTAGGTAGAGTACTGTGGCGTCATAGCTCACAGCAACCTGAAACTCTTGGGCTTCAGCAATCCTCTTGCCTCAGCCTCCCAACTAGCTAGGACCACAGGTGTGCACTACCACACCCATTAGTTTTTCTATTTTTAGTAAACAGAAAACTCTTGCTCAGGCTGGTCTCAAACTCCTGAGCTCAGGCAATCCTCTAGCCTTGGCCTCCCAGAGTGCTAGGAATACAGGCATGAGCCACTGTGCCTGGCCTGGAAAAGACCATTTAAAAAGAAAGCATTTATAAAAATATAGTTTATAAAGTGAAATAACCATACCTTTGTTTGTACTGCAGAATGCCTTTGTGTTCTCATTTCTTGTATTAAATTAAATACATTAAATTCTTCTGGTATTTTCTAAAACAAAGAATACATAAATTTTGGACATTTATTCAGAAAACAGAATATTCTTCAATTTTTCATATAAACCTTATATACATTCTGGTTTATTGCAAACATTTTCTGAGCACTCACTACCTACCACGTTATCAGACACTGTGCTTGGTACTGTGGACACAAAGCTATCTTGACCCTCAGCAGTGAAGCTGGGGGAGCCAGATGTGTGAACAAATAAGTATCTAGCCAAAGCATAATTGCAGTAGAGTGGGAATAAAGAGGCTACAATTGACTGATGGGTGTGCAGAGTGACAATTTAGTTTCACAGTAAAAGAAGACTAACCCATAAGAAGTGAGGGAAATATACACAGGCATAGCAGACTGTATGAATACTCTACTTGGGAATTGAAAAGTTTAACTGATAAAGCCAAGACTAAAAGAAGGATGTAGTACTCATCCACGTCCAACTTCTCTATCACAGAAGATAATCTAAAAGAGAGAAACTGGTGGAGGTTTATCAAAGCAGGATTATTAGAATTGAGATCAGCAACAATATCTTGGAGTGACAAAGATAATGGAAGAGCTGAGAGTGATTCCCAGTTTATTACTTAGGCATCTATATTCATCAAAGATAACTAGGGCATGAGATTATATTTATATTAAGCCAAATTCAATCAAATGAAGACTATGATCTAAATCCACAACTTTAAATAGACTTTTTTTTTTT